TTTCCTTAGATCTCTTGGTTGCAATGCCTCTCAGCCTCCTGGGTCCCAAATGTGGGACAAAAAAAGTAGTAAAGCCTCAAAGTAAGAAGCAACTAAAATAGCATAAAAAGCTTAAAATTCTTGTGGATCAGTTCTTTACCCTAATTAACATTGTTTATCATCTCAGCTTGATGAGTCAGCATTTCTGATGTAAATAAAAGTGAGATCACAGGAAGACTTCACAAGATACAGGTACATTTGGATTTCAAATGAAGGACAGTTGAGAGGCATTTTAGTCACCCTAGCAACACGGTTACCTCTGTTGGCAGTATATTTCGTGGACATCCCTGCAGCCTGTTTTACCTTGATTTATATATACCCTGTGTAGCCTTCTGCATTCAGGTGTAGTTAGATCACAATTTGCATAGCATAAACTTAAAGCACATAAACTTCCTAATTACCAATGAGACAGGCTTTTCTTCCTCTTTTTTTTTTCTTTCGGTACTCTGCTTCCCAAACTTGTGTTTGTAACTACAAGGCTGTAATTAATCTCTCTGGATTAAAGTGGTCCTCTGAGTCCAACTTCAGTTAAATGGAAGAAATTATTCCCCAAATAGCAGCAAAGTAAATATTAAAAAAACCACTATTAACTACTTTTGTATCACTTTTAAAATTTTTGTTGTTCATCCTCCTTTTTTATAATGCTTTCTTAAAAATGTGAGATTAGCATTTCCTTCCTTTCTAGGCTGGTAGTTTTACTGTTTAGTAAAATAGTGAAATTTCTCTTCTTTTTTTTCTCTTTCTTTTTCTCTCTCTTTCATGAAGCACTACGTTTTTGTAGTGTTTAATTTGTTTTCAGGAGTATCATTGATGAAGACCTTGGCACAGTTCTGAGAATGGGTGGTGTTTTATCTGTTTTGGTTCACATATGCTTTCTTGGCTTGCTAGTACGTCTTCAGCATCAAAACAACTTGTTGCCAGATGATGTGTTATTGGCTAAATATAGCTTTTCTTATTGACTGAAATTATGATTTGATGTTGGTTTTTTTTTGTCATTGGGCAACTCCATAAGATTTTGATAATTTTAAAAGGAACCAAAATTTGAGACAAAAATACTTGGCAGTGCATCTTTCTAAAATTAATACTTATAACATTTTCCCCTCCCCTGCCCCCCCCCCCCAAAAATAATTAAACCCACACTTTTGTTCCTAAAATGTGCTTATTGGAAAAGAGCTACTCCCAAGGTTGTGGGTTTTTTTTTGTTTTTTGTTTTTAAATGGGAGCTGGATGAAACTCCAAAATGAGCAGATTTAGGGGCACACTAAAAGGGAAGATTAACAAAGTGCTAAAGCCAGCTTTTTATGTGCTTCCTTACTCTTCCCACAGACCACAAAAAAAGCTCTAGTGACAAATGGTGTATGCTTTGCAAACATACCCTGTTATTAGGCTCAAAATGTGGCTTACACATTCACTGTTGCTTTTATGCAATTAAAAGAAAAAAGTTTGAAAGTGTACTAGATGAATTCATGTAAGTCCATTAGATACCAGTTCAACAATTCTGCAGACCTGAAACAATATTCCCTGAATTGTAGCTTCATCTGGGGTAAAACAAGCCTTCCATGCTTTGCCAGTGTAGTATACAATGTCTTTATGGAAATAGTAGTAATGGAAAATCATCTGCCTGGAGATGGACTGAAATCACAAAACTTTTTTCAGACAGTGTTCAAATTGTAAACCATTGTTCTGTATTATTTGTTTCAAATTAAGCTCTTTGGCTGCTGACAGAAGTGGGGGAAAAAACCAAAAACAGCTCTTTACTAGAAGAGGAAGCACATTTGGACTTGGGGGTGGGGGGTAGTATCTGTATAGATCAGGTGCTTCAGCAGGGCTTTTCAGCGCTTTTATCTAATAGCTGATTCGATCACCTATTAGATAAATGCGCCAAAAAGCCCCACTGAAGCATGTGATCTGTACAGACGTTAGGTGAGCTAGGTCAAACTAACACGGTGCCTTTTTCTGGTTATATGCTGTGCTCAGCACAAGGGCGCACAGAGGTGGAAGTAAAGCGCTTTTTTTTTCTCCCCATTTTGTAAACTGCCTATATTTTTAACAAGCGGAACTACCGCATCTCTTTCTCTGTCCCAGTTCTTCCCTCAGTGGAAAGGTGAGCACTTGAAAGCTACACAATCAATTTCTTTCTCAATAATTACAATAACTGGCATAACTCTCTTTGTTAATAAGCAGTGCCAGGAAATTCATACTCTTGAATTACAAGTTGGTTATTGTCCTCTGTATTGAACAGTGAGAAAGTAGCAAACTAATCCAGTTAAATAAAGGTGAATCCTGAAAAATAGATTTATGTGCATTAATTGACCACTTACACAAAAATAACTTTAATTAAGTACCTCTTCAGAGGCGAACCTGCTGAATGAAAAATGAAGTATTTAATAAGAACATAATTCCTTTATGACACAGAGAAATATTATCTTTTGTTTTTCATGCAGTTTATTTAAGCTAATATTTACTGGCAGTATCAATGAAATATATTCTTTACAACTCAGAACTTTGACATTTGTGAAAATATATAAGGGAAATGATATATAATCATATTTTTAGGCCAAGAGCAGCAATTTATTTTTCCTTTTTATATATCTTTGATAAGATAGATGGTATTTCCGTTATATAGTTTCCCATTGGAAGATAAAGGAATGGGTTACTGTCCATCAGACTCTGACTATGTATTTTAGCTGGCTGCAGGTTGCTTTTTCAATTCGGGAGCCTTTCTTTGTCTTCTTACAAACACAAACTTGGAGCCTATAGCATAGGCCAAATTGTTTTCATTTACAATCAGAGAACCCCATTAAAATTGGAAACTTTATTATAGTCTTTAAGAATGTTATAGGTTTAAAATATTAAAATCTTACTTTTTAAAATATTATAGTTTGCTCCTTGCTGCTGAAGCTTTTCTGGTTAACCTTACTGGTTCTTGTGGCCATTTCAGTCAGTAGCAGATCTACAACAGTATGCACAGTGATCACTCAGTAAATGTAAGTGAACAAACAGTGTTCTCAATTTTTAGTTTTCCTTTTGTTGTTTTTCTTGTTCCTTTGATGTTGTTTTTACTTATAATGTGGTTGAGCCTACCTCGTGCTACTGAGGAGACTATTTAAAGTTATGTTTTTTTTTTTTTTTCTATAAATGTTTTATTTTTGAAGCTTACTTCCTTTCCCCCAAACTTTTGCAAGTTACCATGTGACATAAGCTTAAGGAGCAGTAGGAGTGTGACCCTGCAAGCTACTGAACATTCTGGCCCTGATCCAGCAGAGCACTTAAGCACGTGCTTATATTTAAACATGTGAATAGTCCTGTTGATTTAGTGAAGCATGTGCTTTGCTGGAGAGGAGCCAGAATGTTCAGCACCTGGCAGAACTGAGTCTTCGAAAGGCATAAAATGCACACTAAATGTGGAATTGCTCTGAGTGCTTCAAATACAGGGTATTCATGTCTTTAATGTGTCTGTAACTTACCCTCTTCTCTCTTAGGTCTCTGGAATAACATGACCTCTAATCATCTGGGCTATATTTGCAAGCCCTGGTTATCATCAAACTGGTTTGGGGAGTATTTGTTGATGGTTTGTGGCAGTGGTCAACCTCTTCTAGATTCAAGGCACCCCCCATTAGACTAAAGACACCCCTCAGAAAATTCCAGGTCTTAGTTTTCACTTTTTTTGACCATAGAAAAAAAATAATAGAGCAGCTTTTCTGTTGCAAAGAACTCAAAAAGCCTACAGCAGGTCAGAATGTTTTTAACATTATGGATTCCTATTTGAAATCTCTGGATTTATTTTATGAATTTTGTATATACATGTGGCAGTACTGACATTGTGTGGCACCCCATGGCACCCTTGAAAGGATCTCAAGGCACCCAAAGGTACTGTAGCATGCTGGTTGGGATTCGTCAAGAGCTGTCTGCTTTTATAGTATTGGCTCCCCACTGTATATCTTGCTGTTAATCATTTTAAAGGGTAC